CAGAAAGCTGTTGAGAGGCTGGTCCCCAGAAATCCCACATGGCAGTGGATTCCCAGGCACAGGGTGCATGGGAGGCACAAAGACAATGGTTAATAATAAAATGAGGCTCTACTGGTAGCATGGAGAGGGTATAACCTGGCCTAGAGTTATTCTGGAGTATCACTCGAGAAGCAGCGATAGTGTCTACAAGAAAGACCAGATAAAGTCCTGCAGGAGCAAAGTTCCTTTTCGGGGGAAAAGCCAATAGGCAATGGCTTACCCAGTGATGCCATTCATGGTCCAACAAGCATGCCTTAGTCACATAACAGAGGAACATCTTGAAGCATCTGCTCCATCATCAGTCACTGCTCTGTGACTGTGCCAGTGACTGCAGCCACAGGGGTCCAGTGCCACAGGCCCTGCACACACCCAACACTGAACCTGTGACCTGCAGCTTCTGCAGACCATCACAAATCCCCTGAGACATACAGCTCCCCACAGCCTTGCAGGTTGTTTTTAGTTAGACAAATTCAAATGGCTGCCACAAAAGCTTAATCTCTTTCCAGCCACACTCACGCTGAGTGTCAATAGGAAAAAGTCCCATGAATACGCTTGATAATTACAGAGCCATGGCTGTAGCAAAGAACAAAGTATAATGCAGGCTTGAATACTCAGGAAATTGACTGCTGATATGTTTCCATTCATTGTTTTGTTCTCTGTTCTCAGTGTTATATTAAAATCTCCTACTAAGAATGAGCTTTCTTGTTTAATGGAACTTGTCAGTTAGAGGAAATCTGCTTGAGCTGTTTGATCTATTCTTTAAAATAATATTAATTGCAAATTTAGCACATGACCCTATCTCAGTTAGTTCAAAAACTAAAGCTGATCTTTTTCAAAATGTATTTGTTTCCCAGAAAAATCACGGGCCATCACTTTCCCACTTGAATGCATTCACTGTCCCTTTGCCTCACTATTCAGTCCTGACTATTCATTAGATATGTTGATCAATTGTACCAATCACCTGACATTGTTTTCCTGACTCTATTAGTGAAAAGTGATAGTAGTGAATAGCAAACAGTAAACATGGTGCAAATCTCTGGTCATGAGAAAATCCATGAAACCTTGCAGTTTGTGAGCATCTTTACAAAATCCCGACAACCATATCCACATTCAACTGTGACCTCACATCTATAGGAAATCACAGTGCTTCTGCTTGCCTCTCCATTAGTGGAATTGGCTTGTCTATTTTTAATTCCATGTAGCTCATAATTAAGAACTGAATTTGCATGTTTGCTATTCATCCTGATTCCCAGCATGTGCAGACACAATAACAAATCTCAATTTCAGGCTCAGAAGCTGATATACAGTAGAATCTGAATTTCTCAAGTCCTACAGTTCAGTGGTATTTAAATCTGAAGGTTTCACTTGGTTCCTTGCAGACATAAAAGATCAGTTTAGAAGAATCAGATACAGTGGCCAGTTCAGACTATGTAAATTTGTAGGATTATTTAAATTTGCTGGTTCTGAACCTTCAATGAAAATCTGCAGAAAAAGGTTGCACGGGAAAAGGGTTCTATTGTTCATAGAAACAATATTTATTTTGTGAGTGTCTTTCTGCACCCAGTTATATTGGAATGACGGAAGAAAGAGGAAATGGCTGGTTTAAGGGCTCATATAATTAGATATGCACATTCTTCACCATCAGTACTCCATCCTTTACTTTAGGCAATCTCAAAAGACTTTTGGAAGTGCTCAGAAACCACTGTCCATGCCACCATGATCACAAGTGCTGTCACTTTTAGGAATTTGCCTTTACAAACAGAGAAGTGGTGCCGTGAGCCCATTCCCTGAGAGGCAGCAGCTGACTCCCTTTCCCCTCCATCATAACACCTTTGGCAGGCGCTGTGAATCCCCTCCCTTGTCTGGTGTCAGCAGGTTTGGTTATCCCTGTTCTCATTCATTTGCTTCACCTGGCCTTGCTAGGAACGCTGCCCCGGTGCAGTGCACCTCCACAGTGCAGCGAGGCAGCCCTGGAGAGGCCCCTCACTGAGGGATGTGCCTCAGCCATCCTCAGTGCTCAGCTCAGGCCGGGGGAGCCTGAGCTCCCTGCCTGCGCCCCTTTCAGGACACGCACCATCCTCCTCTGCTCCATCTTCCCTGCTCCTGACTAATCCAGGCAGCTCAAGGTGCAGGGAATTCCTCTCAAATAAATCCATCCTCCCCCGCCCTGATCTTTTATTAAAGGGTAGAATTGTTCAAACCAACCCAAGGGAAGGAATCCGAAATAGGAGGTGACCTCCTTCCAACCCTCAGTGCTGGGGGCTGAGGTGCGGCCCCCTCCTCGAGCTCCCTGGGTTATTCCCGCACCTTTGTCTCATTCCCTCCTGGAGCAAGGCCCTCCCACGGGCTCGTGTTTCCCAGGCCCATGAAGGGCTCTCTGTTCCCGGCATGAGTCAGCCCTGGGCAGGCTGGGCAGTGACATCAGCCCCTCGCGGCCCTCCTCGGGCCGCCCTTGGCGTTCGCTGCCCGCGGGGTTTGTGACGAGCAGAGGGCCGGGCCTGTCGGTGGGAGCGCGGCTCTGCATAAAGCCGTCTGTTGTGGGGGATGCCACCCGTGAGCCCCCGCAGGAGCAGCTGCACAAGCTCTGTTTTTCATGCCTGCCAGCAGGCAAACCCTCTCCTAGAATCCCCGGCGTGGTGCTAAAGCCCTGCCGGCTGTCACTACCTGTGCCAGCCACCCCGGCACACGGCACATGCTGCAAACACCTTTTTCTTTGACGGCGCTGGCACTTCATCTGAGCCAGGATAAAGAGGGCGCGGCCGGTTTTCAAGTCTGCTTTGAGACTACAATAAGAGCTCTTTATGGGTTTAAAATTACCATTCTGCAATACTGGCAAACCATTACCTCTTCCAGGAAAGCTGCTTTGTAGTACTGCAGGAAAGTTATCCCTCTGGTGTGCCAGCAGCATTGCAGTCCTGTATGCCTGACCAGAGGCTACTACAGCAAGGGATTGAATGACTTCATGACCTTGATGGATGCACAGAGTCAGTTCAACAGCACTCAGCTGTGCAAATGAAATGCTGGCATCTCACTGATAAGAGGGGAGAGTGCCCATGCCAGGGCAGAGGGGGGGACATGTAAGGATGCAGCAGATAGTGGTGGCTCGGGGTGATGGCTCCAGCTCTGGGCTTGCCGTTTTGGGGAGATAGGCACCCCACCTGCTTCAAGACAGTCCCTTTCTCTGTGTGGCAGGAGCAGCCAGCCTGGTTTGCCAAGGCTTCACTATAAACAAAATGTCTAATAGTGTTTTTCTAACCATTTTCTTCTAGAGCTGCTGGAGGTCAGAGCCATCCCAGAGCGGTTTGCTCACCAATGGAGTTCAGCTACAGCAGCACAGACTCTCCATGTCTACTGGGGAGGGGTGACAGGTGAGCTCCCCCAGTCTAACATTGCTTTGAAACATCAATAAAGCAATTGTACACAGAGAGAAAAAAACCACAAAGTTCTCAGTTTCAGTGCAAGGAGAGTTCTGCTTTTGCTCTCAGCTCACTACTTTGGTTCTGTTTGAGGGTTAGACTACAATTCAGACCTACAATTCTGCTTTGGATTTAGCTGAACCTCCATGAAATTTCATGTACGCCTATGAGATTTCAGCACAAGAGATGGCAAACATCTAATGCCTGATACTGCTTTCTAAGGCATTTTTCATCTATGAGACTTCTATACCCTGAACCCAAATCTTTCCCCCAGCTTGTCCTCCAACCCTGGCTGCACACTCTGTAGCCAAATAACATCCCCTTTTTCCTTCTGGAACAAAGCAGCTGTTCTGTTTTGCTGCTGAATGAATCAATGTTTTACCAGCTATGGTTTCCTGATTTGCAGATTTTGGTGGCAGCGCTGTCACAGAGTTCCCACCATCAGCCCCTGCCACTGTCTCCCCTGCCAAATAACACTCAGGCCTTTCAGCTGGGCCAGAGCAGTTGTTCCTGGGGGCGATGCTGATTAGGCACTGATCTAGTTGAAGCAAAAAGCAAAGCAAACCAAAACACATACACAAAAAAAGAAAAAACCAAAATCCTTTCTATTTTACAGGGGTTTTTGTTCACAGTCTTAACCACCAGCAGTTCCTGATGTGGCTTGCTGCAGAGTCACATGAAGAGTTGTTTAGATACAACTGGGAGGGGGCTGAGCTGGAATAAAACAGTGTGGAAAAAAGCTGAGATGCGAACATCTCAAGACAGAATTACTACTAAAGCTTTCTTGGCCTTAAACCATGGCCAAGGTTTCTTATCTTGGACCACAATCAGGAGATCACCATAATTTTCCAGTAAACAGCCAATTCATTTCACAATTTATACATTGTTACACTACACATCCCCCATGTAGCAGAGAATCAGCTCTACAGTCTCCTTTCAGGCCTTAAAAGGATTCTTAGGCTTCAGTTTTCATTTTTAAATGAATACAGGCATTCAACTGAGCTCTAAGCTATTAAAGCAAGACATCACTGATAAACTAAATAATTTCACAATAGTTCACTTAATTGTCCAATTCACCTATGCCTTTAGACCAATGTTTTGGGATTCCAAATAATACAAATAATAACAAAAATAACAGCAGCACATTCCATCTTACTGAAAGAAACAGTGATATTCCAAAACACAGCACGTGATACATTATCACTGGCTGTGCAGGAGTGTGGGTGGGAAGCAGGAGGCTGCAAGAAGAGACAGATAAAGCAGCTCCTACACGCGACTTTTTCCTCTGTACTATTTGCCTTTTGCTGAAGAAGCGCAGCAAATATATTAACACATGCATGAAAAATGAGCTGAGGTAATTCCATCTATGAGCATGTGATCGGTCCTGCTGCCACAAATGTTTTCCCTCTAGGTCCATCTCTGAATCTCACACAGACTGACTCACTCTGCGGCCGCACACGTCACTACTACCCGGCAGCGTCAGGCTGTCATTTGTTTCCTTTTGGAACGGGATGTTCTATAATAGCTCCAACTCCCACTCCATAGTTTATGAAATTGCAGTTCTTTCACATACTCCTTTGTTCCTGAGCAGCCAGGAGTTTTCAGTTTGTTTCTAAGGTGCTAAAAGAGGATCGGAGTGGCCTGAGCTCAGGGGTGCCTCACTCAAAGCTCTAACAGGATGTGTCTTTTAATAGAATGAAGGTGTGATGGTTCTCAGTGCACTGTAGAGCTTGTTCTTCAGGAAGACAAAGGAAGCACAGTGCAGAACTGTTGCTTCTGGGGTTTCTCCCACATCCAGGGAGACACTGTCATGGACATGGAAGCTGAAGCTCTGGACATGCTGATGAAGCCATGAAAGCAGAACCAGCTCTGCTTCAGAGGTTCTTGCTATGATGCTCAAATATGCAACACTTGTTTTTCAGCACTGATTAGTTTGACCCTCTGCTCTACAAATCCTAATCTACATCTGTGTCTTATTCTGGAACAGGTAAGTATTTCTGAAGTGAATCCCTGACTGACTGTGCTTCACTTCATACCAGACAGTTTCAGAGCTCAGCCTATAGGAGTAAACTCCGACTAGCGTGAGGTTAAAACCCCCAAGCATCAATAGCAGAGACATGGAGTTGTTAACTCCAACTGGTTTGTTGTGCTGGCTTGGTGCTCCTGTCATACCAAACTACCACTGCTTGCTACCTGTCTTTCAGAGCCCAAAGTCCTGGAGCTGTTGATCTCAGCACACAATTGCAAAAGGAGGAATGTGATGTGCTTCTAGACATGCAGCAGAAGAGAGGAAGCTGCAGTCCCCAAGGTTCCCTGCTCACTTAAAGACCATGTTCACCAGGATACACCTGCTGAGTTTCCTGCTGTGAACATCTGACAGGCAGCTGATACCAAAGGGCAGAACCAAGAGAGCCAAAGAATGAAAGGGTGCAAAAGGTGTTGACATTTTCCTGCTTACTTTTGGGATGCTGCTATGATTCAGTGCAGGTTAAAATGGCTTTGTCCTCACACTGGGTGCACAGCAAAATGGATGCATTGCTATGTGGAATCCAGTGTTCCCTGCTCCAAGTGCTGCTCCCCTGTTTAACAAAGAGCTTTAACCAAATGGGGAGCTGACATTACTTCCTAAGGGTGCAGACATTCCTAACAAGGAGGTCAATGACAACTTCAAGCATAGCAAAAAGAGTATTCCTATCATTCTTCAGAACAATGTTATCACCTGTCACTGGGAATACAATAAGAATCTTAAAGTTGACTTGGAGACGATTTGGAAAAGCAAAACTTATCATTTGCAAATTGTACATAACATTTCTCTGAGACACAAAAAGTTCCTGAGGCTCCTGCCTGCAAGAGGGTGCCATAAGCATCCCTGCAGATATTTATTCTGACCTCCTGGACCTTTGTCCGAGGTTCATTCACTGGGTTTAAATAAATAAGCATTAACAAACGCAAGGGCACTGTCCTGCATTGAGCCAAGATCTTAAGCAAAGAGGCTTAAGTCACATTTATATTTCCTTTGACCTAGAGACAGAGCACAGCTCAGTATATCCCAGTTATGGAGCAAAAAGACCTCTATGGCTGTACAACCTTGCGTTCAGGTGCCTGAGAAACCTTTAGAAACTGCTGTAAAGGCAGATCACCACAGGCTGGCATTCCCTGCTCGCTGCAGACACTTTCACATGCAGCACTGGCTGGGCAGAGCAGCCAGAGCCCCAGCCCTGACTTACGTGCATGACAGCCTCAGGAATCCTCCTGGTGCTGCCTCGCCAGCCTTGGGTAATGCTGCACTGCAGGAATACAGTGCCCAGGCTCTCAGAGCCAGCCCTTGAGCTTTGGTAGCTGCCAGGACAAAAGACAATCTCTAAATGTAAGTCAATATAATCTCACAGACATCACCTATAACTTTACCTGGGCTTACCTGGGTCGCTGTGGAGGGCAGGGCACTGTTTCCCTTGACATTCACAACGAACGCGTGCACCAGAGAATACGAGGCTCCTCGTACACAGCGTATTGTTCTGGATTTCGTATTTCTTCAGGGTTGTCTTGGCAACGAAGAGGGTTTGCCGCTAGAGGTGTGTGAAACACTGGGTAACAAAAAACATCACAACTCCCACTTGTTTCATTCCATCACCCTTTTATACCTGACTCTTTTTCAACCTGGACCGCTCTCAGTGTGCTGTGTGTCAGGAGGGGCAGCACAAATCAGCGCAGACTCCTCTGCCTCCCCCTTTCCCCCAACACAATGATTTTGAAAATGACAAAAAATTACATTTTTCATTGAAAAATGATGTCTATCCAGATACCCTTACATGCCCTGTTCCCGTTCTCCCTTCAACTACCTTCTTAGGGAGTAGTTCCCTGGCAGGCAATGGAACTGACAGCTCCAGAATGGATGAATCTATTTAAGCAAAATCAGGATGGGGTTTTTTTTTTTTTCATTTGTTTGCTTGTTTTAATTAATGATATTTTTTGTGATGTCAGTGAAGTCAATGGGGTGACTGTGGACTGATTTCAATATGACCAGGTCTGCCAATTTGCCCTAAACAAAAGGAGCCTTTCCTTTTTACAGAGAGGAGATGCTGGACAGAGAATGCTACACCTTGTCAGCAAACTAATGGAAATGCCCCACTTGCCCTTCTGACTCAGCTCCTTCCATGGACAACAGACCTTTATTTACTGTGGATGAGGTCCTGGAAGTATTCTGAAAAGTTTTTAAAGCATCTGTGGATGCACACAGATGCATCAACATCACCTTGCTCATTCATGTAATTTGACTTTGTTTTTACTTACTGAAGGCATTAAAAAATTAACCCAAACAGCTGTTCAGATGCCTCTATTTTTTTATGCAGCAAAGAGAAAAAAAAGTGTGAACAGCTGTGTCAGTGGAACACATCCAGGTGGCATCCCTAAGGCAAAGTTTCTACAAAACCAGTAAGATAATGTTTTTATTATCTTAGTTATTTTATTTCTTTTTTTTATTACGTTGCTCTTGTAGATTCTTAAAGAGGTATTAGCTACTTATTTCTTCACCCTTGTCCCTCAGTGTTTGAGCTGTGCTATAGCTCAACACAGATGTTGCAGTGATTCAGCCATCAAAGGGGAAAATCACCCTTTCAGCGGAATCCTTCTGAATCTGTTCTGGGGTCTTAAATGGGATGTAAGTCTGGGTAAGGAGCAATTTTACATATCTGGCCTTTCTACGGGGAAAAACTCAAGATGTGGCACCAAAAATTGCCTAAGGAACACTCAAGAGCAGAGGGAATTTGTTTTCCACGTTGTATAACTAAGTCAGCTGAGATGTAGTTTTGTTGCAGTTCCTTGACAAGGTAGCTGGGTCATCCTCAAGGAGAGGCTAAGACTCACAATTACACAAGAGTCTGAAAGAGCAGCTGTTTGGGACTCCAACATGTGTAGCATTGGGGATTTGGAAATCTCTGGTCAAATTCTCAGCTGGGTGGTGCTGAAATCTGTATCAGGTTCACTGACAAAGACTCATGAAGAAAATCCCTTACTGAAGTTCTGAATTCCTCAGCTGGAATCCCAGACGTCTCCCATTCTGCATGGAGTAAATTTTAGCTTTCTAAACTCTGGTACCCTTTCCATGCATTTACTATCATGTCTCATCCATGAGAGGCTTCCAGACACCAGCTCCAAGCTCTGCATTTCATGGTACCACACTCCCTATGTGCCCTAGGCCATCACACCATAGTCCAAATCCTACACCCTGCCCAGTCATCCAGGGCTCATCTGTTTGGTGCCTTCCATATAGACCCTAATAAGGGTGTGATTCTGTTGCTATAAGGCAGCTTGCTGAATTATGGATGTGTTATCCATAAACTGATGGTTGGTATTTTCTGCCCTGACATCAGTCCTTGGATTATCAACTCTGCAGAACAAAGTGAAAACACTGAAGTGTCTGAAAATTGCCAGCCACATCACAGGTGTTACAGGAAATGATATTCATAATAACAAATAATAATAGCAAGGACAACTGTAGTGATTAAGCAATTTGTTGCTGTTATTATTCTTTCTCTTATTCCCACAATATTTGGCAAATATGGGCTCTCCTCTCCAGAGAGCTCTTGAGACTGAAGAAGTGTTTTCAGGAGACACAGAATGCAAAGAAAAGTGTTGCTTTTCAGCTTATAGCATAATGATAGTAGATAGCTAAATGCCTGAAATCTGTTTCTATACTGCTAAGAGTTTTGTTTGGTTTTTTTTTAATTTTATTTTTAATTAGCTTGAGAAACAAATTATGTAAAAATATCTGTACAGTCCTGAGAAGGACTGTCTTCCAGGGGAAAGCTCAGCAGAATCATCCCTGAGTCTAAAGGAAAATTTCATTCTCCTCGAAATCATTCCCTTTTGGTACATTCTCTTCATATTTAGTAGGTGGATGCAATACCCTCTATATGTACTAAGCTTGTGTTATTACAGTTTGAGCACAATATATGTTTATTTGGAGTCTAACAAGATCATCAATCAGGAAATACCACTGCACTTCATATTATGTATTTATTTATGGTGTTAGGATGAAATTTACCTGGGTCCAGAGAACAAAATTAGGCTGTTACAGCCCTTGGTTTCATATAAGTTATTTTCCTCTCAATGCCTATGCCCTGTGGACACAAATTTATTTTTCCAATACTGGATGAAAAATCTCCCATTCTTTCATTGCCTCCAGGTAATGATGTCTATACCTTTCCTTCTGCTTCCAATTTTGTGTCCATTACTTGAATGCTTGAAAACATGAAATACAATACCATAAGTCACAGAGCAAGAAAATCTGCAGTGTGTAGGGAATATTTATCTTCTTTTTCAATACTTTTGTAATTAAAGAAATTCTAGTCAATCATTTGATATCTTCATTGACATTATCATACTCCTGATCTTAAACTTCCAGTTAAATTTTAGGTGCTGGTTAGCTGTTAGAAAGAAGGAGTATTTTGCAGACAGGTTATGGGATGCAGATTTGGAAAATCTCAGTTCTTCTCTGAAGTATGTCACACACTGAGCAATGAAAGATGACTTTAAATGGAACGTGTACTAATAAATGTAAATATGAAAGTGGAAAATTACATCACAGAATATGAGAGCTCAATATATGTTAATCATAACAGTCATTATCTTAAATAATATGAAAAATATCAGTGAAAAACATTGAGAGACCTTTGTTAAGTCCAAGTGTGTTCTGATTGCTGTATTTGACACTCTGCAAGAACCTAAGTCTCAGAGACTTGGAATCTCCATGAGATTAGAAAGTATTTGCATACAAAATGCAGGAGAGAAGTTAAATGAACAAATGTCAAGTTTATCTCAAATAGAAGTGTTATAAAATCATTAAGCATGTAAAAGTTGATTCAGTTAATTGGCTAAGGCCCAGTAAAGATTTCACAACACTATCAGCAGGGTGTTGAAATACTTAATAAAAAACCAAAAAAAACCCCAACAAACCAACAACCCAGCAACCAACAGCATGATTTCAGAGAAGCACTGCCATTTAAGAAACACTCTCTTCAGTATTAGATAAGAAACTGTTTATCAGCATGTGTGTATGTTCTTCCTGGAATCAAGGTCCATGCAATTTATTTCACATACAGCAATATTCTCTCAGTGCTTTGCAGTTTTTCCATGCTCAAGTACCAGGAAAAGTGGAAGTAAGAGACATATACCGTTACAAAGAAGTATATCGCATTTATATTTACTTAGTGATTTGTGCTAAGATAGGCATGCAATCACAGTGTAATGAGTTAACCAACAGGAGCTTCTGGCACTTCTTGTGCAGAGAGGAAAAAAAAATCTCATAGGAACATGGATGGATAGGAATGTGTCAAAGCAGGGACACAAGGAAAGGTAGCTCATGCAGCTACTGATACAAAAAACAATTTGAACATTGTGAAATAAGATAAATAAAATTGAGTTGTAACCTATGTAAAGCAAATGAAAGATGTGCTCTGAACATCCAGTAAAACTCCAGTGTAGTTGTACTGATCCTGCAGCAACCTTTGAAACAGAACGTTTCTGAGTTTCTGCTCCCTTTTCTTAGGAATAGTCTGGCCATCTAGGAAATATTTCACTCTACCTTCCAGCACACACAGAAGTTTGAAAACAATGCAAATGTAAATAGTTCCTGATGCCAAACACTTCAGTTGCCAAGAAGAAATGATGCATTTTGTACCAGGGTTATATTATGACCAAGATTAATTTTTGGATTGTCTCCGGCTATTCTTTAACAAAAACACCTCTTGATGAAACACAACTTGTAACTCATGGGTTTTGTGTATTCAGGGGAACTTTTCCCAACAGCTGATTTACAGTGTTCATACGGAACAAGCTGTACTGTGACTTGCTTTTAATCCAGCTGCCAGATATTCCAGAGGTAACATCGTGGGAGAGGGGACCAGGTTTTTGAAGATGAGCCTACTCAGTGGTAAAGATCTTATGGAAAACCAGAACAAAACCAATCAATGAATATACCCTAAATTCTCTTAACAAAAGGGAAATTACTCAACGTTATGATATAAGCAACTATTATCCAGTAAGAATTGAGGCCATGTCTCAAGTAATATTTCACAGCACGAGTTACACGATCAGGTCGCTTGGTGCAACTGCACTGATTGACTGGTCACACATGTGCTTGCAATGTCTTTAACCAGGTCTGCTCTCTTGCTTTGTAAAAGAAGTCAACTTCCATAAAAAAGAAACTTTATATATCTTTATATAAGGTTACATATCACTTATATAAGGTTATATATCACTTTATATATCTACATTTGTATATGCAGATTCATCAGTGTTCAAAAACAACTACTATAAATTCAAAGATGAATTCTGGAATCAAATCAGGTATCATCAAAATACAAACCTAAGAAAAAATAGAAGGGAATAAAAGAAATGAAGGGAGAACTCACAAATAGTAGAGAAATAGTGAGAAAAATATTGGGAATGAGACTATTATCAGATGGAACTTTCTTTGCATCCAATTTTACTTTTGGGAATAACATGTGACCAAAATTTGCTTATGGCTGTCATATCAGAAGAATCATTTGAGTTTTGTAGATTCCTACCATGCCAAAACCTTTTGATTAGAAATTTCCCTGAGTAATGTGGCAGCCTCTCCTTCCAGCAGCCAAACAATATTTGTCTGAGTCGAATGCAGTTTACAAGGCTTAAGTCATTAAGCATGACTGAGCTGACCAATCACACCACATGAACACAGACTCATCACCCCTAAGTCATGTCAAAAAAATAACCACATCAAGTAAACCAAAACCTCAGAATCTGGAGCAGTGGAAGGACTGAAAAACTTCAGTTTCTACACAAGAAATTTGCAAAAAGAAGAAACACTACACTTGACAAGGAAATTCTTTTGCTGAAAGTTGCATGCTCAGCTATATGATTACATTGCTGATGTCCCCCATTCTTCTTTTTCCTCCCATGTTCCTCTCTAGGAAATATTTCCAGAACTTGCTGGTTCAGTTACCCGTTTCAGAGCTGTGGCATTCAGTAGTTCCAGGAACAAAGCTGCATTATTATAAACACTTCAGCTACAACATTTCTAAGGAAATTAGACTGTCTATCATAATCTCCTGCTGACTCTCACCTGACAATTTAAAATTTTCTGGTGTGGCAGTAGACTCTGAGGACAAAACACTAATTTTTTTAATTTAATTAAAAGCAAAAGAAGAAATTCAGGATAAAAATTTCAAAGCCTGGAAAGGTGAGTCAGAAAACAGCAAGATGAGAAAGGATGAAAACCAACACCACACTGATGACTCTGGAAAATTCCATGTCAAAGTAC